GCCATGTCTCTTCACTGACTTTGAAAAAAGCTGTTGGGTCTCAATCTTTTATTCTTTTTCCCTTTGTCCTTAACCCTGTTTAGATCTTAGGTACTGAGAGCTGAATTAATTTTATCCTTTAGCTCCAGAGGACACTGGGGCTATCAATATATAACTCTTGTTTTATTCTTACTCTGTGTGTAGATGTCACAGTGTATTCTATTCTTCCCTGTCATAGATATTCACTGCCATATATCTTTTCATAGCCATAAATATGCATGCCTTTGTGCAAATAGGTAATGTATATATGTGTTCTTATTTATCTGAAGGTTGTACTGTGGAAACATTTCAGAACTCTATCCATTTTACTTTGTATATGATTATTAAGTGATTCTGATTTTTAACCATTTCAACATAGTCCTGAGTGGACACACAGATTGCTGTCAAATCCACACTACCACATTGTGTATTGCAATGAACATATTTGCATATTGGCTTTTATAAATGGGATGATCACGTATGTCTGTATTGGAATGTTTTTGAAGTTAAAAGGTAAATCTTAATAATACTAGGGCAGTAGATGTACACCAGGACTTCCAGAAAAACCAGAATATGTAACCACACTGTTTACAAAAGATTTTTCTGGGACATGCTGACATTTAGCACATGTGCACTGGATAGCTTAATCTACCTCCTCCCCCAACCTCCCCCTGCCCCGGGTGTTTCTATCTGATATCTGTTCTAGCTGATTGGTGCATGTACTGGATGATTATTACAGATTTTAAATCTTATCCTTGCAAAAATTATTTTTGAAGGGGATTTCTAGGAAACAGAATATAGACATTCTTTCAGTAAGTTTGAGTTCTAATAATCCTTTTTATTTATAGATGGGTAGACTTTTTAATCTCTGTGTTTTCTCATTTAAAAAATTATTATTTTTATTTTATATGTATGCGTGTATTGTCTGCATATAGGTAAGTGTACCTGTGTCATGCAATGCCTGCAGAGGTCAGAAGAGGCTGTCAGATCCCCTGGGACCAAAGTTAGGACAGTTGTTAGCTGCCATGTGGGTACTGGGATTTGAACCCGGGTCTTCTGCAAGAACAACCAGTGTTCTTAACGCTGAGCCATCTCTCCAGTCCCTCTTATTTTTTTTAAACAAAGTTTTCTATTTGTTTTATATATTCATCCTTACCCCTTCTAACTCTTAATTTGGGGGTGTAGTAGTCATTTATTGACAACAATTCTTAGTGCCTTTCCCCAGTGTAACAATTATTATGTTTTACAAATAATTTTTATTCAGATTTTATTGGTGTAGAGAGGGCAGAATTTATAATCCTTATTTTACAGAAAAGGAAACTGATCATCAAAGATAAGTTAACTTGGTTCAGTTCACATCTGGTAAGTTACAGAGCTGAACTTGGAACTAATTCATCTGACATTGATTTGCTTCTGCAGTATCTAAAAGAGACAGGGAAAAGGATAAACTTCTGTTTCTAGTTGAAGTAAGAACTGTACAGTTTAGCTTTCTGTCTTCCTCAGAACATAACATAGCACTGATAGCTAGGAAATGATCAATGATTTTTTTTATTGAACAAATAAACTGGGGATTATGTAAGTACATGTAGAGGCAAGATTTTGTTTGTTTATGGGTAGTGCTGGATATTGAACCCAGAGCTTTCAGCATGTGGGCAAGTACTCTACCACCGAGCTACACCCCAGTCCCAAGTTTAAGTTAAAAATGTCACTACTAATTGTTGTGGTGACTCATTTATTCTAAACAAGGATTTGAGGTATAGATGAGCTCAGTTTTGTAAATATGGTTGAAGAAAGGGTTTCAGTTAATCTAAGAGTTTTCAATTTAAGTGGTTTGGTTCACTTATAATGGAACTAACAGTGGGTTATATATGTACTAGCATAATGTGGTATTGGGGGTGAATACTAGATTGCAATTTACTGATTGATTGATTGATTGGTCTTTTTGAGACAGGTTTCTCTGTAGCCCCAGCTGGCCTAGAACTTACTATATAGACCATGCTGGCCCCTTGAACTCACAGAGATTTGCCTGCCTCTGCCTTCTGAGGGCTGGGATTAAAAGCATGCGTCACCACACTGGTGACTCCCCTAGGCTGCACTTTTTAAAATAATCTCAGGAAGGTTTCTCTCTCCCCCGCCCCCCTTTTTTTAAACTCTCGTGGTGCATGTGTTTAATCCCAGCACTTGGGAGGCAGAGGCAGGTGGATCTTTGTGAGTTCGAGGCCAGCCTGGTCTACATAGTGAGTTCCAGGACAGCTGGGGCTGCAAGGAGACCCTGTCTCAAAAAAAGACCAAAAAAAAAATTTCTTTTTATGTGTATGAATGTATTGCCTGCATGTAAGTGCACCCATGTTGTGCAGTGCCCAAGGAGGTCAGAAGAAGGGGTTGGATCCCCAGGAACTGGAGTTACAGATGGGTGTTAGCTGCCATGTGGGTGCTGGGAACCAAACCCAGGTCCTCTGCAAGAGCAGCTAGTACTCTTAACTGCTGAGCCATCTCTCCAGCCCCTTATTCTCTTTTTAAAGACACTGTTCTATAGCTTTAAATAACTTGTAGCAAAGTCCCTCTGGCTAACTAATGTGTTTCATTTGGCTGCTTAAAACTTGTTTTTCATTCCCAAGATCCCCAAAGACAATAGCAGTTTAGTGAGAGACTCAAATAATAGTGAAGATGTTGAATTTCATTGAAAGATTTTTCTGTTTCAGCATTAAGAGAGGCTGCTTGGCCTCAGCCCCCTTGTTCAAACCTGCCACTATTTCTGAAATCATTACAAAGCCTTCTATAATCTGGTTTCCCTCACCTTTTTATCCTGTCCAAAATTATCTGCCCCTCCCCAGTTACCTGGATCTTCTATGGAACAAATTAAGGCTGTTTTAAGAAAACAGTTAAGTAACTTAAAGTTCCTATTTTTTTATGCTCTACCCTTCAGGGATATTAAAAGCAGTACTCCTGAAGTAGCTCCTATTGTGTAGCCTAAATCTTCTTTTAAAAACTATCTGGCCAGGTATGGTGGCACATGCCTTTAATCCCAGCACTGGGGAGGCAGAGACAGGCGGATCTCTGTGAGTTCAAGCCCAGCCTGGTCAGTATAGTGAGTTCCAGGCCAGCTGAGCCTACAGGGAAACCCTATCTCAAAAAGACCACCCCCCCAAAAAAAACAAAAACAAAACACAAAAGCTATCTGATAGCAAAGACTCCATGTACAAGGCATACTATTTTAATTATAAGTTTCTTGCTGTTTTCTCACTGCTTATAGTTATCTTTCAATTGTCAATTGATTTGCTCGAGCTTTGGTAGTATTTTGAGCTTCAAATATAAGCTTCATTTCCACCAATGGAAAGAACTTTGTAGAAAGCCCATATATGTCTCTTTAATGTTCAATTTTCTGTTGAGACAGTAGGAAACTGATAACTATGGCTATTCCTTCCAATTGCACCAACATATTTTTGGTTTTGTTTTTAAATATTTTATTATTTTTATTTTATGTGTATGAGTGTATTGTCTACATGTATGTAAGTGCAACAGTGTCATGCAGTACCTAGGGAGGTCAGAGGAGGGCGTAGGATCCCCTGGAACTGGAGTTACAGGTGGTTGTTAGCCATGTGGGTGCTGGGAATCGAACCCAGGTCCTTTGCAAGAACAGCTAGTGCTCTTAACTGCTAAGCCATATACTTTAAATTCTGTTAGCAGAGTGGGTCTGAGTGTTCATACTGTAATAAAATAAAGCAGGCAAACAAGCTAGCAGGCTGACTTACCAAAATGTTATTTTCATGAACCAACCATTAAATTGTGAAAAGGATTTTACTTTGCAGAAACCAATTTAAGGATTTCCTTGAAGGGATTTTTTAAAACTTATGCCAAAAAAGAAAGGGATGGAGGAAGGGAGGGGAGTGGGGGGGGCAGAGAAAAAAGGAATTCCCCAAAGGCCTTTCTTTATGTAGCTACTGTCATAATTCAAGGACACAGTGTAAAGAAAAAGTGGGGGCTGGAGAGATGGCTCAGCAGTTAAGAACACTGGCTGTTCTTGCAGAAGACCTGGGTTTGAATCCCAGCACCCACATGGCAGCTAACAGCTGTCGTAACTCCAGTTCCAGGGGATCCAACAGCCTCTTCTGTCCTCGATGGGCATTGCACAACACAGGTGCACTTACCTACATATGCAGGCAATACATGCATACGCATAAAATAAAAATAATAATTTTTTTTAAAATTAATAAATATGGAAAAAAAACTAATAGAATAGTGGTTACCAGGGGCTAGGAAGAGGGAAATGGCAGGCTTACTTGCTAATTAGTGGCTAATTGTTTTGTTTTGTTTACATCAGTTGTACTTGATGTAGAAAAATAAAAATTAATTTGGTGACTTAGTTCTACTCTAAAGCAGCAGTTGCCTTTCTGATTCTGAGGTTTTCTGTGAATACTACTTTCCTACCCCAATATGAAATAGAAAGAAACTACCAAGACCACTTCTTTCAAAACACTACAGACTGTCTCAAAGCTTGGGAGAAGAAAAATGTGGAGGGGAGGATACAGTTGGGAATCTCTTTCCCATAAATTGGGAACATTTTATTTGATAACTTTTTCCCATGAGCACAGCTAGCTAACCCTATTACATTAATACAGCAATACCAAAAATTGGGTCCTTTGAATGTTGTCAAAAGGATCAAAACCCAATGTGAGCAGAAGCACTTACATCTCCTGAATCACCATTCCTATTTAACCAAGTTATATATGGCTCTCAATATAGTGAACAAGTCATTTTGATCACTGTATGTATTTTAGTTCTGCCTGATACACACAGGCAGCTCTAGGTACTTTGGGCCTTTGTTGGCATTACTGACTTTGTTCATGACTATACATTAGCTACCTCCACATTCTGACTTGTCAGCCTCTCTTCCCCACTAGACTTTTGTTTTCTCTTTTCTTCTCTAATCCCGTTCTTTCTTCTTCATCCCCATCTCCTTCACTTCCTCATGATTTTCTCAGGGCTGGGCTTCAACATCGTCGGTGGGACAGATCAGCAGTATGTGTCCAACGACAGTGGCATCTACGTCAGCCGCATCAAAGAGGATGGGGCTGCAGCCCGGGATGGGCGGCTCCAGGAGGGTGATAAGATCCTCTCGGTGAGAACTGGCTTCGGCCCCTTTGCTATACTTTGTTCCCTAGACTTCCTCAGACCCCCTCCTTAGGAAGAGTGTTGCCTACCTGTTTGGATCTGAAAATATCTAGATGATATAAATGAATGGAAAGAACATTGATTAGTCTCCTAATGTTATCACTAGGCTTACAGGATAATATTTTACTTGACAAAGTTAATTAAACTTAGAGTGAAGTAAACTTAGAGTTATGCTCAAGTTCAAAAAACACGAACTAGTTAGAGATGAGGGACTGACTTGAGAGAGATTTAAAATACCCAGTTTTTATCTTTCTCCTGTTACTTTACCTCTCTTTGTTCATTAAAACACTAATTTGTGCCTTTTCTTGGGAGACTGTCAGCCTTTACTAATGGTTTTAACTTCGAAGAGGAAGGTAAGGAATCCTTTCCTCAGACTCAGGGTTCATTCTTACTTGATATTAAGATACAAAATTGAATTAGTTTGGCTATCTGCCAGTTGTGCTCCCATTTCATCCTGCTAATGTCTCAGTGCATAGCAACTATTTTTTTTTTTTTTTAAGACGGTCTTCTTGTAGCCCCAGCAGGCCTGAAACAGCATATAGACCACACTGGTCTCAATCTCACAAAGATCTGCCGGCCTTTGCCTCCCAAGTGCTCAGATTAAAGGTGTGTACTACCACACCTGGCCCTGTACCATGAATCTTATTAATTTTCTTGAATATTCTCAAGGACAGGAATCAGATTTTATTTTTTTAGCTTTCTATGCCCTAATATATTGCTCAATATATATTGAACAAATGAACAAGCTAGGAAATCCAGGTAAACTTAGAAAGATTGACTAACAGATATGGGCTCAAAGATCATTATCTTAAATCAAAATTTTCCTAAAAAATAAATTAGAATATATGCTAAATTAGACTTTTTAAAGCTATTAAAACTCATAGTATATGTCTGACTTTATTTTCTTCATCTCTGCTCCCTAACACTGGCCACAGTGCCATAACACTGTCAGTTGTAGGAGCTGGGAGATGTTAAATCATTCTATAGATTTTCTTTTTAAGTTAATCTTGGAGCTGGAGAGGTGGCTCAGTGGTTAAGAGCACTGATTGCTCTTGCAGAGGACCCAGGTTTGATTCCCAGCACCCACATGACAGCTAACAGCCATCTATAACTCCAGTTCTAGGGAATCCTACACCCTCTTCTGACCTCCTCGGGCATTGCATGACACGTGTGTACTAACACACATGCAATAAAAATAATAAGTAAACTATTTTTAAAAAGCTAATCTTTAGGGCTGCTAAGGTCAGCTTACTTATATGGAAATAACAGATGGTTGGTCTAAGGAGTGGGGCGCTGTTATCTAGGATATTCTTGGGAGTTGGACCTGTCTTCAAAAGACTGTACTTGCTGGGTGTCGTGGCACAGGCCTTTAATCCCAACACTCTGGAGGAAGATCTCTGTGAGATAGAAGCCAGCCTGGTCTACTTGGCAAATTTTAGGCCAGCCAGGGCTACAGGGAGACCCTGTCTCAAAAAAAAACCAAGAAATAAAAAATAAAGCTATACTTAAATAAAGGGAAATTTGTATCAGGATGGGGCTTCTTGTGGCAAAAGCTCCTACTCTTTTCCAGGTATGCCCTGGATTGTGGTCGATGTTCTAAAGAAAATACTCTTCCCTACTTAAGTCTTATGAACTGAATAGGGCAGGAGGGCTAACTTGGAAAAAGGCTGAAGAAGTACAGAATAAGAGAAGACTTAAGAGTTACATAGTAGTGTCAGAGACTTGATTCTGAACCTACTTCCCAAAACAGGAATTTTAAAGATTTTAGTTATAGTTTTGTTTTGAATTTTTCCTTTTGAGTTACCTCTCATACAGTTCTCTTGACTAGTGATAAAAGTCTTATGTGTGAAGCTGGGCATGGTGATGCACACTTTTAATCCCAGCACTGTGGAGGCAGAGGCAGGTGGATCTCTGTGAGTTCAAGGCCAGCCTGGTCTACATAGTGAGTTCTAGGCCAGGTGGTGCTACAGGGAGACCCTGTCTCAGAAAAACAAAACAAAACAAAAAAAGTAAAATAAATAAATAAAGTCCTATGTGTGAAGTCTCCTGGTCTTCTTAGTTATCAGCTTATTACACCCTTCTCTGCCATCCAACCCATTGGTAGCGGTATTTGACGGCAGAGATACAAAAGAAAAAAGAATGTCTACCTTTCTTATTTGTCACCTGAGTATTTGGGAGATCTAGCTCAGTGGTATGTTTCTGAATTGCTCCTCAAGATGACACACTTAGGCATGGCGGCATGTACCTTTAATCCCAGTACTCAGGAAGCGCAAGCTAGAGCATTGCAAGCTCAAGTCCAGTGTGAGCTACTTAGTGAGCTCCTGCCTCAAAGAAGAGTTACACATAGTCTCCAGTAAATCAAAACAAGTAACTGTGAGAGCTTTTAAATCAACTCAAGAATCTTAAGAATCTGCCCACTAATCCAGAATGTAAATATAATACCACAGATATCATATTTTAGTCCATCTCACTGACTGTGGACCATGTTTTAGCCCATTAAGCTTTTCCTAGTCCTTCTATATTAACCTATAAGATAAGGATAATGATAACCCACCCTTGATATGAAAAAGATAATGAAGAATTTAGAAGCAAGCTATTTCCTATCTCAGAAAAAGACATTGTAAAAATATGAATCCTGGAGCTGGAGAGGTGGCTCAGTGGTTAAGAGCACTTGCTCTTCTTACAAAGGAACTGGATTCAGTTCTCAGCACTCACATTGCAGCTAACAACCATCAGTAACTGCAGTTCCTGGGGGAATCTGATCTTGTTTAATATTACAGTAACCCTATGAGATGAGAGTGATTATTATGCCCATTTTTGCAGCTAAGGAGCCTGAGGCTGGTGAAGTCAGGTGCTTGACAAAACCACAGGATTGGTGGCAGGGCACTAAAACTTTGTTTGTCTGAATTTAGAGCATTTGCTAAAACTAATACCAATACGAACACTATACTGTCTACTCAAAGGTAAACAAGGAGCTGAAATTAGTTACCATAAAAGGAAAGTTGTATAATGAATTAATAGTAGATGGTATGGGTGGTTTCATATAAAAACTGAAATTAGCCTTTCTATAAAGCCTAGTATTAGAGAGAGAAAAAATGGTATAAGTCAGAATGTAAAAGAATTCCATAGATATAAACTGAGATGAGGTGCCTTATGTGGTCCATTGCCTCACAGAGAAACCAAATTATTGGAAGATCTCCCAAGATTTCAAAAAGGACAGAAGGTTAGTGTGTTGGTTGGTAAGCGGTAAGTGTTAATGAAGAGAAAGTAGATTCCTAAAAGCAATACCTCCTATGACTTTAAAATTTATAGCACAGGGGATTTTATTTCACCAAACTACAAGAAACATAAAAACTATTATAAAGATATGTAAGATATTAAATATTAAAATATAGAAGACATATTACAAAGAATGACAATTTCCTGTTTTAGCAAATTAAGGGAATGGTTTATGAAAGAAAAGAAGACCAAATGCCAAAGTTTGGAAAGGCAGAAATAGAAGACAGCTTTGAGGGAAATACAGAAGACAGACCAAAAGTGAAGTACAGGCAGAAGACAGTGTATCTTTCTCAGGCCTACGTCTACATTTCTTTGACTCTAACTTCCCTTGTAGAGTTTACTCAGGACTGGAAAGATGGCTCAGCGGTTACACACTGCTGTCTTGCAGAGGACCCTCGCCACTTCAGGGACCCACGATGGGCAGTCACAACTGCCTGTAACTTCAGCTCCAGGGGATCCAGTGCCTTCTTCCTGACTCCATGGGCACTTGCCTTCACATGTATACAGGCATACACATACACACATTTTTTTTTTTTTTGGTCTTTTTGAGACGGTCTCCCTGTAGCCCCAGCTGTCCTGGCACACATTATGTAGACCAGGCTGGCCTTGAACTCACAGAGATCCACCTGCCTCTGCCTCCCAAGTGCTGGGATTAAAGGCGTGTGCCACCACTCCCGGCACACATTTTTTTTTTTTTTTTAAAGAAAATAAATCTTGAACAGAGTTTACTCCAAAAAATTTCTCTCCAGATTATCTTTCCTTAAAAGAAATTTTGTGAATCAGCCAGGTGTGATGGTGCACTCTTGTAATCCCAACACCTGAAAGGCAGAGGCAAGAGGATCTCAGTGAGTTCAGGTCAGCTCAGTCTGGTCTGATAGCAAGTTCTAGGCCAACCAGGGCTACATAATGAGCCCTGTCTCCAAAAACAAAAACAAAAACCACCCCAAAAAGCTATCATGAAAATAGACTCTGTTACTTCACCCACCATGACATCCTCTCCTTCTCTAAAGTGAACTTCTTAGGCTATAACTTTAAATGGTTCCAGCTATTTAATTTGCTTCATCTCTTTAATATTGGAGACATATTCATTTATTATGGACTATGATGTATCTCTAAAATGTTGCTAAATTGTTTATTAGCTTACTTTATTTCTATTTAGTTATTTTTCAGTTTGGGGGATTGAACACGGGCCTTGCACATACTAAACAAGTATTCTACCACATCTTGTTAGCCCTTCCAATTTATTTTTAATCAATTTTCCTGGTCTCATATAGGATACTTTTCTATGGTGTAAAATATGCCCCTTTTTTTCTAGTAACCTTTTCGAAGTAATTAGACTAAAAATGTGTTCCTTCCATATATCCATTTTAGATAACTAATAGAAGTATCATTAAGTAGAAATTTACTCTTGTTTATTCTTCCTAAATAACGTCCATTTGTGGTCTTGATTTCAAGTTCTGGAATTGAAAAACTGTATTATATATCATGCAGTTTCCTTTTTTTGGACTAGGAATGAAATTTAAATTTTTTATAGCCACTGCATATGATTTATAATAGGAGATAATAAAAGAAAATTTTAACTGATCTATGTAAGCAGTTTATATAGTCATTTACACTTGGATGAAATAAAGCAGCCATTAGTAATGAAAGAGTAGACCTGAAGTTAAGACAAGGGCTAGAAATTATCAATTTTGGGTGAGTGTGTTGGTAAGAATGGTTCAGTATTGGAATTTTACCTTGGAAAGTAGGAGGATTTTCTTTATGTTAAAAAAAAACACACACACAAATTGTGAAGTAAGTTTTTCATTTTTCCTGTGTGTCTGCCTAAATGAAAGGCATTATATAGTCAGTCCCCAGTGAACTTTATATTTTTATGAAGTTCAGGGTGATATATTGTGCTACTGCATAAATGAATGCTCTGTTTTAACAAAACCCCATAAAAGACAAAATGGTGGCAGAGATTGGGCCATTATGCAGCTGCATTTCACATTCAGTACAAGTACATGTCTTAATTAGATGAAGGGAAGAGTTGGTTAATCCCGTATGAAAGTGAGATTAAACTGAGGTGGGTTTGCGTCATTTCCCAGAGAATTTTTCATACCAGTATGGAAGGTTAAGGATATACTCTTTCCTTGCTCAACAGTTTCAGTTTTGTGTCTTGAATAATAAAATGGTACCAATAGAATTGTACTATAGGAAAACTGACTTGGAGACAGTGTTTTTGTTGTTGTTGTTTGTTTTTCTTTTTTTCAAGAATATTTTTATTTTTATTTTATGTGTATGAGTGTATTGCCTGCATGTATGTGAGTGCACCTGTGTCGTGCAATGCCGTGGAAGTCAGAAGAGGGTTTCAGATTCCCATGGAACTGGAGTTAAGGATGGTTCGTAGCCACCATGTGGGTGCTGGGAATCAAACCCGGGTCTTCTGCAAGAGCAGTCAGTGCTCTTAACTGCTGAGCCATTTTCTCCAGTCTCTGTTTTTCTTTTTAAGGTGGGACTGGGGAGAAACTGAGGAAAATACTGAAAAGGCAATTAGCATAGTTCAACTAAGTATCCACAACCTAAAATAGAAGCCATAGGAAAGAAAATACATACAGTGTTTGACTGCAGGTTATTGCAAATATTACATGTGAAGATTGAGTGCAGAGCATTCAGAATCATTCTCCTGAAGGGTGTAGTGCCATCAAGAAGGAAGTTATCTATTCTGGTTTGGTGGCAGCTTATGGAGACTTTGGACATACTGTATTGGGTTCTACCTGAATATCTAAGTATAAAATTCTAAGTATAAGCAGGAAATTGGCAAATCTCAAAATATAAGTAGAGGGTTGTCTTGGTTGGAATGGTGGAAGATCCTCATGGGAGAAGAGAAAAACATGATTAACAGTCAAGAGCACTTACCTTTAAAAATTAGGGAAAAGGATAGGAGTAAAAAAAAAGTTACATAATTCATAAGCCAAGAAAGGAGAAAATTACAAAGACAGGAGGTGGTCTGAAGGCTGAGAAAGCTAAATTTATTTGAAGTCCCTCCTGACCTTCAAGCGACATGTTCTTCCTCTTTGTTTATTATGGAATTACGGGGAATAAGTAATGAATGGATGATAAGGTAGTAGACACAGTGCATACTAACAGTTCTTTCAACAGTTTTGTGGAGAAAGAGAAGATGGAAGTGTGTATCCATGGATTCTAAGAAGTACTTGTTTTGTTTTCTTTATAATAGAGGAGAGTACTTTTAGTTGAGAAGCAACAGCGAAGGATTATAATTGAGAGGAAAGTGGCTTTGTGAGTTTTGTAAGGTCTTAGTGGATGGGTTAGCCTTGATAAATAGATCTAATTAAAGATTAGTGAGAAGATATATCATGAAACTTTGAGCAGGAGGATAAAAGGGAGAGAGTGAGCTGTCCTCAGTAATCTCAAAGGATAAGGCAAAGGAATCTGTTGAGAGGTGAAAAAGGATCAGGATGATGGAGAGAGTGTGTACCGTACTGCTAGCTACTTATTAGTGAGTTTGATGAATAGGAGGATCTTAAGGATAAGCTATAGCAGTTAACGTGGATCTGTGGTAGAGAGTTTGACTACACTTTTCTCCAAGAATATTCAAATCAGTGATGGTAGGAAAGTAGATGCAGTATGTTCTCAGGGCTGGAAAGATGGCAGATCACAGGGAGGAACGATTCTAGTGATTAATGAAGTGCTTTGTCAGAATTACTGCCAAAACTCTGAGATGGGTAAAATGCAAGTAAAGTATAAAGTTAAAAACTTTGATGAGGATAAAGAGGAAATCTAATAGAGAAATAAAGTATGAAAAGGGCAGAAATCATGTTCAGGTTTTTAAAAGCTGGATATGTTGGAGATAAAGTATGTCTATTATTAATACTGAGTTTACGTCAGTTGGTAACATTGAATGGAGCTGTATATATGAGTGAAAATAATTCAGTCTATAAAATAAAAGTCTTGGTAGTTTCACTTATCAAGGATATTAGCAGGACTCAGAGCAGAAGGGTATTGTAAAGGTCTTAGAGAAGGCAGAGTGCACGGTTGATGAGAAGAGTCAACAAAAGTGGCCTCTGCTTCAGCTGAGCAAAGGAGTAGTTGGAGTCAGGGTGAGAGAATAGCATGAAAAGAACGGTGAAGTACAAAGGTACTTTGGTCTTCATTCCATTATTTAAAATCTTTAGCCTTAGCTCCCACACTTACGAGTCTCTCCAAGTCTCAGTTACTTCATCAACAAAATATACAATATAAAAATAACATCTACCTCATAGGATAATTGTGGGAATTAAATTTGATTGTGTATGTAAAGCATAGAACCTGTTAAAAGAGTAAATGTTCTTGCTACTGATACTGTTGAGGTGACAGTGACCTGTAATCTTTCACAAAGTGGGCCTTATTTTGTCACTGGATGCAGAATAAGATAGATACCACTTGTGGTCAGTGTTACTCCCAACACCAAAAAGTATTAATACTGGTCTTTCTTGTTTATCACTTCTGTGTGGGAGGAGTGACCTATATTCAAGTGGTTTGTAAAGGTTTGTGTCACCACAAAAATAGGTTTTTATTAATTTGAGGAGGATAGGAATGTCCATGGAATCAAGGGAAAAATTTTACATTAGAATGGGCTTGTATAGACTTACACAATATCAAATTAAGTTGTGGGCGCATTTCATAGAATTATGTTTCCAGGATTCAAGCTAGAAATTCTGAGGTTAGAAATATAAAGGAGAAGGGGATAACAGAAGGTTGTATTGCAGAAGGTCTTATTAGCTGAGTGGAAAAGGCGAATAGTCATGGACGACATACAGATACAGTAGTAGAATCCCACACACCCTAACAAGACAGGCTAAGAACGAGGAAAAACCACTCTAACCCGAGTTCACTACACATGGTTCATGGAGCCTCACTTGTAGGAAAACATAACTTTTTTTCTATCTTTTTGAGATAGGGTCTCTCTGTAACCCTAGCTGGCCTGGAACTCACTATGTAGCTGTCCTGGATCTCACAGAGATCTGTCTTTGCATCTCAAGTATTGTGATTAAAGACATGTACCACCACACCCAGCTGGAAAAAATCACTTTGAAAATGAAGAAAACTATTCTTGAGTTCTCAGTAACTTAGCCCATACTCCTAGCCCTTGGAATTTTCTCTAAAAGAGTTTAGGCTATTTCTAAAGGTTTGGCTGTATGAATGTAAATTATTGATCTAAAAGGGTTAGCCTCTTGCCTTTCTTGCTGTTTTTGACAGGTAAATGGCCAAGACCTAAAGAACCTGCTGCATCAGGATGCTGTGAACCTCTTTCGTAACGCAGGATATGCTGTGTCCCTGAGAGTACAGCACAGGGTAGGTGTCATTTGTGAGTAGCTATAGAGCAATAGGCTTTGCGTCATTCTTATCAATAAGCTTGTGGGTACAGTCTTCAAAGTGTTTTCTTTCTCCTTTTATTATCACTACTTTAAAGCACTTGTCTGGCACATGTAGAAGTCCTTTGGAATTTTTGCTTGTCAGTAGAAGTAATTCATAACACTATGCCTATAACCTAGGCCCTACCTTCAATGTATTTTTTTTTTTTTTCGGTCTTTTTGAGACAGGGTCTTCCTGTAGCCCCGGCTGTCCTGGAACTCACTATGTAGACCAGGCCGGCCTTGAACTCATAGAGATTTGCCCGTCTCTGCCTCTGCCTCCTGAGTGCTGGAATTAAAGGCATGTGCCACCACACCTGGCTTTTTTCTTTTTTTTTTTTTTTTTAAGATAAAGCTTGCTGTTAAAATAGATGTAAAGAAAATAGAATCACTTTTACTTTTTGCTAGGGAAAGAACCATAAGTATGTCTTTGAAAACTCTTATTTATAAAACTCTTACTGTAAAGATATGTTTCCTGTCTTCTACTATAAGGCTTTTCTTCTCAAGTCCATGACTGTATTGGCTAAAACTTGAATGCTTGAAGGAGAACTCGAAGAAAGAAATAGAGCTGAGAATCCTTATATCTGTTGCTATTTCTTAGTGTTTTATAATCAGTTTGATGGAAAGGAAGCCTGAGTAGATAGAGCTCTGCTCATAGCATCAGAGATTTCTGAGTTCATTACAACCCAAGTAGAATATGCCTTTACAGTTCTTTCTTAAATTGGTATACTCTTTGTCTTATTCAGAGGCCAAATGAGGATTAAGAGGTTCAAGACTGAGAGGAGCTAGTTTAAAAAAAAAAAAAATGGAAATGACAGAGGCCAGCTTGAGCTATGTAGTAAGACTCTGTCTTAAAAAATAAAACAATCAAATGAAAAACAAAACAAGAAAAGGAAAACATAAAAGATATCCAAGACATAGCAATGGTGACAGCATGCACAAGTTCCACGCAAACTCAAGTAGACAAAATCCCAGTACAGACATGGGGAAATGGGTAAGAAATCCCAACCCACCTCAGGAACTTTTGGCACCTGATGATTGCTGGGAGGGGAAGAGACAGTCTCTTACAGGGATAGGCCTCTTGGTAGGTTAACCAGTGGGTGGACCCATATGCCCATCCCATATGACCCAATGTGCATTAAATTGTGCCGGGGACAGTACAGGGAGGTGTAGATTGGGAGGGGCTATAAATACCATTAAATTATATTATATGAACATTGCAAAAATTCAATTAAAAAAAGATATCCAAGAAAGCACTCAGGACTGCAAACAGAATGTGAATGTGATAGGTTCAAAAGCAGGTTGATAAGAGACAGTTTTGGTCAGCAGCTGCTTTTTCACTGGCTCTTCTTTGTTTCTAAATCTTGGGAGAATCTATGTAGTAAATAAAGGTGTATAAATAATTGGCATATATTTTAGATATGATTAGGGTTCCTTTTGAAGGTATATGGGAAGTGATTTTCAATTTCACTTTAGGAAACATCTATGAACAACTTCTAATTCAACAGACTATTCGTCAAAGAATTGGCCTCTAAAAAACATGTCTTCCTAGTCAGGATGCCTTCTCAGGACATCTCATCCAGAAGAAATGAAATATTACAGGGAGACGAGAAGGTAGTTTGTGAGGTCTTGTATTTTAGATGAAGAGGTCAGGATTTCATGGATTATAATAGGGAGGTTAAATCTAAGTGAAATAAAATGGTACCATAATCATTGCAAGCTAACCAGTAAAGATTGTTATTAGGAAGGGCCACCTCAAGAAGACTGAAATGAAAGAAGACCATCTAGCTACAAAAGGAAATACTTGGGGAATAGAAAATGATGACTAGGGTGTAGTTAAGTTTAACTTATCCCTTGAGTCTTTAACATCTGCTGCATATAGATTTCACCTTTGTCTCTGTCTAGCATTACAACCTAAGGCATGAAGAACGAGGCCCCATCTGGGAATTGTAAAGCATTTCCAAGAATGACACTGCAGCTATGCTGACATTGTCTGGGTCTGCTTTTACTGCTCTCTAGTGACTGATCATCTTTATCAGCAAACACTTGTAGAAGGAAGTCTTCTTTCTATCCCTTTTCCTACTCAGTAATACTGAGGCTTCCTGAAAGATCAAGAGGTTTCATCTTATATCTTCATTTTCTGATAGGAGACACATATAGTGAGATGGAGGCAGTATCCAAACAGAAGTTATCTGCTTTACCTGCTTAAGTCCCATTAAAGTCTTAGCAAGCAAAGTCAAGTGCCTCCCTATCAGACCTATTTTCTTCTCAAAGAATCTGTAAACGTGATGCATCATCTGAGGGCAGAGGAGAGCTCCTGCTAGGAAGTGTGTGGGGTTTACAGCCTTGGGTTGACTACAGCCCCAGGTGATTGTCAACTTGGATCTTTTAGTTGTGGTACACACAAGTAGTCATAAAGCTAATATTTCTCCTTCCCTTTCAGTTACAGGTGCAGAATGGACCTATAGTACCTCGAGGTGAAGGAGAGCCAAGTGGTCTTCCTGTAGCTATGGTGCTGCTGCCAGTGTTTGCCCTCACCATAGTAGCAGCTTGGGCCTTCATGAGATTCCGAAAACAGCTTTGAAAGACTTGCTGTCTTCCAATGTGCCCAGTGAACTTATACTTCTCTCACCTTCCTTCCCTGCCATTCTCCCATGTCCTTTCCTCCCTGCATAGCCAACACAATTTAAAGTGACTGCCCGAAACTTTGCTGTTCAAAATCTCCAAGATTTCAGATTCTCTTGGGAGAGTAAAGGTATTATTTGAAGGAAAGCTGAAGAAAAGCCTTGCTTAGAACAAATGAGAAGTCACACATTTTACTAGAACTGCCAATAGAAATTCAGCTGCTACCCAAAGAGGGAGAGATCAGTCTTCTGTCACCGTGGATGACACCTTTCTCTTAGCTGCATTACATGAAAGGAAGAACGGATTTTCCTTTTAATATTTTTCCCTGGGAAGAGTTTGTGGCCTTTAATTTATAACCATATACCTGGATGCCTATATTGTACACAAGAGAATGAAGTTTTTTTTTTACTTTCTTAAAAAAACAAATACTTATATACAGTAATACACATATGCATATATGATAGTATAATATTGATGCCTTACGGAGAATTAAAGAGGTGAAAAACTACATTGGTTCCTAGGTTTCTAATGAACAATCTTTTGGGTGGGAGATCATCATATTCCTTCATTTATATAATATATATGTGAACACTCATATTGAGCAATGAGTTCTGGGTTGTAAAGAGAACTCATTTTTGCACTTGTCTCTAAGTCTTTGTTCACAAGTTAAAGAAAAACATACATAAGTGCTAAGGGGTGATCTTATTTGAAGAACTTGAAGAGCTGTTGGTAGAAAATGTATAGTGGGGATGGGAAGGTTAGCTTTAAAAGAGGATGCTCAACCAGTGTCATCAGAAAAAATAATAGCTGAAGCATCTAATTGAAAATTGTAGAGAAGTATTGTATAGTAAGTATGGTGATGGGGTAAATTGTTCTGCTTAAGTCAATCTAGTCAAAAACTTTGAGATATAAAGATAAGTCTTACCAGTAAATCTCTAGATTCCCCTCATGGCTTTTGCAGTGTTTTACAGTGCTCTTAAAGGAATGGCTGGGATGAGTTTGGTCAGGCCTAAAGCACTGAGGCCAAACAAACCCTCTAGGCTGCTGAGCAGTATTTTCAAGTTTCTGATAATAGGCAAAACCGGAGAGAACTGTCTGCCTGGTAGGATGGACCTGAAATCAGCCTGCTTCTAATTTGGTTAAGATGACTGAGGATTGAATTACTGATATGTGTATGTATTCCCCTCAAAGCTGTAAACACTAGTTGTGGCTTTTAATAAGTTAATGGACCATTTTTCAGAGAAGAGGAGGGAATAAATTAAGGAAATTTGGTGTTTCCTGGGTAAGCCCGTGAATAGAATGTGGATGAATGGAGGCTAGAAAATAGCAAGAAGGGTATTGGCCACATAGGAACCATGCTGTTCATGTAGTATTTAAATTGGTTTTAGAGCACTGAGGATATTTGAACCAAGCCCAATTTTCTACCTGTAAGAAAAGAATTTCCATCTTTTAAATACACTGACCAGACTGGGCTTATACATTATTGTGACATAAGATTATAAGGACTTTTCCTGGGGTAATCAGTTATTCCCTGTTTTTAACATGGAGAATCTACCAATTACTAAACAAGTGCTGATTGGACATTAGTTTTGTAAAGATACTTTTGCAAAGAAGGGAAATACATAGACTTCATCCTAAAGGACTTTTTGGTTCCATTTAGGAAGAGAACACTTAAAATGGAATTAGTCACATAAGTAGGACAGTGTAAGTTGGCGTCAGATTTTATTGCAGACAGCAAAAGAGAGTAACTACAGGGAATTGGAACACTTAAGACAGTTCCATGGAGGAAGGGGACAAGTTAAGGACCTTTAAGGAGCTAACCGTCTAGTTAAAAGAATTCATGCATAGCTGAAAAAAAAATCCTATCATCAGGTTGAGAAATAAGTGAAAACTGTAAGAAAAAAAAAAAAAAGTTACCATGCAGAACAGAGCACAGCGCTGCAGCATGCAGATGACCATTAGGTGTCTTTAGGAATTCAGAAGAGGAAAGTGGTTGCTTAGTGGCTTTAAGGTGGAATGGAAAGGAATTTAATGAAAGGAAAGTAAATTTAAAAGGCTTTATAAGACTTTGTTTCTGAGTCAACTATTGATACCAGGAGAAACTTGCTTTAAGCAATCCTAAAAAAATCTGATGCCTTTCCACCTAAACTATTCAACGCTTTTTGAGACTAATTGAGATAACAGGAGTCACTGTAAGTCTCACAGGAAACACCTGAAGTATTCCAGGTCTGTCTGCCAGCCCCATTATAGAGGCCCCACCTCTGGTACCCTCTTTGTCTCTGATGGCATGTGCAACAACTGCCATGAGCCTGCTTACCTCCCAGGATTTACCTCAGGGTTTGCACGTGGATTTTTGCAAGACCTCGAGACATAGAAAGTGAGACAAATGGTAAGCAGGAAAGAAAGCTATTTAGGTTTTTTTTGTCAATATATGTAAATAAAAAAGATCATAACTAGAAGTTTTGCTTTGGTTGGTGGGGATTCTGATGTACTTAATCTGGAAACGTTTTAGGCAAATAAATACACTAAGTATTTTACTCTTGTTCTATGAGAACTAAAATGATCATAGATGAAGTATTGAGAATCCGTTATAGGTTGTAAAAACATTTATGTTCCTTATAGACTGAATCTAATATTCTTATCACATAAATTATGTTTAAAGTTTTAAAAATTAAATGTAGTTATTTTTAAATCCCTGTGCTTAAATGTTTCTTATATTTATCATTATGTACTACATATAGTGCTGAGAGTCTTTGCTTGTTATCTCTATTTTCTTTCCCTGCAGCGTCCCCACCCCCACCTCGTGTGAATGATTTAGTGTAATTAGATCATCTAGCCATGGGTAATAGATAAGAGAAGTTAACTATGCCAGGGACTGATTGCTGCACTAGTCATGTCTTACAACTTGAAATCAAGTGTTGCTATAAAGAGACAGAAGATGAGAGAACAAATTACTTCTCTAAGGTTATGTAGGTGGTAATGATGTAATCAAAACTTAAACTCAGAACTTCACGTGCCAGCATCAATAATATTCCTGTTAGCGGTTCCCAAAGTAAGGGCTCTGGACAAAAACACTATATTACCTGGGGACTTGCTTAAAAAAGCAGATTCTTGGGCTTCATCCTGTACTTACTAAGAAACTCTTAAGTATGGCAACTAGCAATCTCTCAGTAATCGTTCAGGTAACATTTATGCTAAAGCTTGAGGCTTACCACTTTGTTAGTACTTGTCCCTTTTCCCTGGTTGAAATCACTTGGACAGCTAGTAAAATCTTGTACCTCAGGCCAAATTAAATAAGAACCTTTGGGGCTGGGACTTAGGCAGTAGTAAAATTTCATCAAGTGATTAAAGTAGGAAGCCTCTGTTGAAAGTGTTCCATGGAATTTAAACCTAGGCACTGTTTAAGTTATTGAATCAACTGCAGACATGGCTCTAACCAAAATCACGAACTTGGGCAGTTTCAGAACCCAGCTGTCTGAGCTTCTGCTTCACATATAGAGGTAGAGTAAGAAGTGGATATTGTTTTTTTCTCATGTACTAAAGACAGACTTGCTAATTAACTTCCAGTAAAATAAATGATCAGTGAGCATTTCAGCTTATTCGCCCATTAAGAACCAAATCATAGGGGAGTGAATGTGAAGGACCATAGGATAAAGTCTTTGAGATGAGAAAAATTAAGATTCAGTGAGCTAACAAACTTAGTCAGACTTAGTCTGTTGCAGAGGTACCTTTTTTGTTTCCTATGTGTTTTTAGTGTGTCCACTACATGAATACAAAGAAAAACTTTTTTTTTTTTTAATCTCAGTGTACTTCCATGTTCTCTCTTTGGCTTTCATTAAAGACCAGAAGAACTGAGAGACAGCTAAAGGGAATTGTAGACATCAAGATTGGAATGGGAGTCCATTGAACAATCTGAGAAAGATAGTACCTAATCGTGTGTTGTGACTCCAGCAGTTCTAAATTAGATACACATGGTTGCTGTTGTTTTGTTTTTAATCATGAAAATAAGCAATTAAAACATATTTAGAGTCTGAGTATGGTGGCACATACCGTTAATCCCAGTGCTTGGGTGACAGAGGCAGAGAGATTTCTGGGAGTTGGAGGCCAATCTGGTCTGTAAAAATGAGTTCCAGGCCAGCTAGTGACTGTCTCTGTCTCCGTTTCTCTCTCTCTCCCCCCCATCTTTCTATCTCTCTATATGTACACATAAACATATTTAGAGAAATGAAGCAAGCAGCTGTAAGCTGTCAGATTGTGAAGAATGCAGTTTCATGTACAGCCAATAAAGATTTCCTAGCAACTTTGAATGGAAATCTATCTTTATAAATATTTCTTAATTTAGCAGATAGCTATCAGCACCAGCTAGGTGCCGAAGATACAAAGATAAATAAAATTTGCTCACTGAACTGAAATACCTTAGCATCTGAAAGTGGGTAGGTTTGATGTTAATGTATTTTGCTAATATCACATTTTGAATTCTGAGGCTACCTCTCAAAACAGGTTTAGGGTGGGCTGCTGTCCTCCATAAGCCCTTCTGCTCTGCCTTTTAACTGCAAGACTTTTTTGAGATCAGCCTTCATATCCTAAAGGGCAGTCATGATAAGAAAGACAGTATTTTAAAGAATTCTGTTCAGTGGGAACCAGATTCTCAACTGCTATCAACTCTTGGATGATACTGATATTTATGTATAGAATAACAAAGCCACATGATCTGTTTACCTGATGCACTTGATAATATAAAGACCAGTATAAGAAGCATTGCTGCTCCAAAGGAATCTAGTAAACACTAACATTTTCCTTATACTATACGTTTTCTTCACTGTTAATGTTCTGTTTCTACAGGGGAAAGGGAAGGGGAAAAGGCTGAAGTAGATTTTCAAATGCAATTTAGCCAACAGAATTATTTACAAAAGAATTTTGTAAATTTATGGACTAATCACAGGAGAATGGGATGATCCTTCTTTACAGTTGATAGGTTTTCAAATGAGGACACAGAATTAAATCCCTTTTTAATACTGATTTGAATGTGAGTTTGTTATTACTGGATACCTGTGCATCTTACTTCCAGGCCCTTTTAGTTCTTACAAGATTATTTTCCTTATGAACCTTATTTTGTTTCTTCTTTCATTATTATGTCACATTGCATACCTGAATGTAAACAGCAATCTGTTTCACAGATTAGATGTTGATAGCTACTTGAAAAACAAAAAGAAATAACCATATTGTCTAAGAAGTAACACTATAAATTAAATGTTAATGAGACTATCAAGATTTATGATAATCTCCAGCTTTGCTGTTTGATACTAGTAATTGTTTTCTGATGTGCCTATTGAAATATGACATTCAATAAAAACTTGGTTAATTTGTCATTAAATATTTAGTCTTGGGACTTTTTTCTTTTGGAGACTATTGAATAAATAGTTCCTATTCTGTCACCTTTTAGAATTATTTTTGAATTTTATGTATAAGTGTATGGGGTTATATGCACATGAGTGCCCCTGGAGGCTAGAAGAGGGTGTCAGACCCTTTGGAGCTGTAGTCACAGGTAGTTGTGAGCCACCTGTGTAGGTGCAGGGAACCAAACTCAGGTCCTCTGAAAGAATGGCAAGTACTCTTTAACCACTGAGCCATCTTTCCAGCCCCTCCATCACCTCCTTAAACACCTCTGTCAGGATGATGGAAAGAGGAAATAAATTGAAATTTGAAGCTTAGTTTTGACATAAGAGATAAAGACTAGGTCACGGTACTGCTGAAAATAGAATTGCTTGATAATTACTGAGCTCTTACCAGTGTTCTATTCTAAGCCCTTGATATTTCATTTAAGCCTCACAAAAACTCTCAAAAGATAATTGTTCTTATTCCCATTTACAGATGAGATGAGCAAAGCATAGAGAGGTTAAGAAGCTTGCCCAGGTTACACAGTTATTGTCATATTTAAATAGCCAGGCAGTCTGGCTTAGAACCTGCAACATAACCATAACCCTGTGCTGTCTATTCTCCAGGAGCCAGATGCTGCATTTTTCTCTTTTCCCGATATCAAATACTCAAAACTGCAAAGCAGTATGAGTATTCCCATTTTTATAGACGAAATAGCTCAGTGTTTAGAGAAGCCAGTATCTTAAGATAGTCACTGCCAGACTTGGGAGTTTATTCAAGCCACTGAGGAGTCCTACACTCTTGCACCATTTCAGGAATTTCAGGAGATTCGATTCAACCATGCTGTCACATCCTTCCATCATGAGTTACAGCATAAAACAGTGCACTAGATTAACTGTTCCATAGACTAGTAGTAGCAGCACCATTCTGTATTTATATGCAGTATTTGAAAGCAATTGGCAACATTTACTCTTACCCCTTTCCCCTAAAACCTTATGAGAAGACAGAAATAGGCTTTTGCCATAGGAGTAATAAGGATTTGTTAGAAATGAATGTTGAGCTTCATTTTAATTTGTACAAAGTTGGCTTTGATTTTTTTTTTTTTTTTGTCTTTTTGAGACGGTCTCCTTGTAGCCCCAGCTGTCCTGGAACTCACAGGCTGGCCTCAAACTCACAAAGATCCGCCTGCCTCTGCCTCCCAAATGCTGGGATTAAAGGCGTGTGCTACCACACCTGGCTGATTTTTTTTTTTTTTAAGGAAGTTTATATTGTTCATCGTTGCTTTGTCAAAGTTGAAGCATAGTTCATACCTGGACTCTGTTGTTGATCGGACTGTACATAGAATGACTTGGGGGGGGCGGTGTCTTTTTGTCATGGGGTCCCCCTGTAGCCACAGCTGGCCTGGAACTCACTATGTAAACCAGGCTGGCCTTGAACTCACAGAGATCTGCCTGCCTTCCTGAGTGCTGGGATAAAAGGCAAGCACCACCACACCACCACATCCAACTGTCTTGATAATGAATCACCACAAAAGTAAGTGGCTTATAGCAACAACCTATCAACATGTTAACTCTTTGAATATCTTAACATAGAGAAGATACAGTAAAAATACCAGGTGATGGGAATTCTCAACAACATTAAATGGTTACAGAACTCGTATTTTCTGTGCAGTTCATAGTTGACTGAAGTGTTGCTGTATGTTCTGTGACTAGTTAAAAAAAAAAAATAACGAGCTGGAGAGATGGCTCAGTGGTTAAGAGCACTGACTGCTCTTGCAGAGGACCTGGGTTTGATTCCCAGCACCCCCATGGCAGCTACAAACTGTCCTTAACTCCAGTTCCAGGGGAATCTGAAGCCCTCTTCTGACCTCTGCAGCACTGCACAATGCGGGTGCACTCACATACATACAGGCAATACATTCATACACACAGAAATAATATATAAAATATTAAAAAAGATGCCAACTGTGCACAGCTGACCCCTAAATATTAAAAACAAAACAAAACACCAAACAGAAAAACAGTTCCAGTTAGGCTTTCATTGGAGGACCACTGTCAAAATTTATAGGTTAGATTAATCTATAGTATTTTTGACTTGGTCAAGTTCTAGTGTTTCTAGATTACTGGGTTTTTTGTTTTTTATCCAAAACATGTATAATGAGATTTGACCAATGTTTTTTTCTTAAACCAGTGGTGGACAGGGGGATGTGGTGACACATCTTTAATCCTAGCACTCAGGCAGAGGCAGGCCGATTTCTGTGAGTTCCAGTCCAGCTGGGGCTACAGGGAGACCCTGTCTCAAAAAGACTAAATAAAAAAGAAAAAAAATTTTTAAATAGCATTGAAGGAGATCATAAGCTATAGCAGCCTATTATTCTAGACCTATTCCTTCAATCCTAAATACTGCTCCAGACGCAGCTACACAATTTTCTTCTTAGTACCACCAACTGTGTAGTTTAACCTCTCAGTTTAAGATCTCCTACCTTTCTACCACTTCAGTCCCCACATCTGCGTATTCTCTCTTCTACAATCAAGCAGAGAAGAGAGGAGTGAGACACAGGATTAACAAGTCCTCTTTAATAAGCTTTGCCCTGGACACTTAAAATAGTCCAGGCAACTGAAATAGTTGCCATTCTCCTGTTTTCTTGTTTTTATGCTTGTCAGAGTGGTAATGCCTTTATACACTAAAAAATACAAAGTGACAGTGTTCTGAGTTATATGTCAAAGACTACTGGAGCTCTGAGGAGGAATCATTTATCTTGCCTATCGAGTACAGGGAACTTCAAGTACTGGTGCCCCAAGACGTGAATGTTGAAGGAGAGTAAGTTGATGAAATAGTCAAGAAATATTATCTCTTCCAGGAGGGAGTACAGAGTGAAAGCAGACTTTTAACAAAGGGTTTCAAACCTCACTAAGAAAACTGGTGTGAACATTAGGCAAAACCAAGAGAATCTTATTTTATTATTTTTACTTTATGTGTATGCATGTAGGTAAGTGCACCCGTGTCGTGCAATGCCTGCGGAGGACAGAAGAGACTGTTGGATCCCCTAGAACTGGAGTTACAGACAATTGTTAGCTGCCATGTGGGTCTTCTGCAAAAACAGTGGTCTTAACTGCTGAGCCATCTCTCCAGCCCCGAGAATCTTATTTATTAATGTCTTCCAGCAATGTGGAAAGTTAACGAGATTCACCCCCTCTCCCCTCCCTTAACTTCCTCTTACTGCTGACATATGTGTCATCCTGGAGATCTGGAGCTTCTCTGGAGATAACTTGGGGGGCTACTTTAATAAAACAAGAAATAACCAGAAGCAAGGCAGGGACAGATGCAAAGTTTTTTCTCTAACTCGTCCTGACAAATGGCGCTGTGGTTCATTTGATACCCTAAACTATATTAGTTCTTCATCTTTTTGCCTAGAGTCGACCAAAGGCACACAAACAGAAAGGGTATAGATGTTTAACCAATGGAAAATGAACATCAATTACAGGCTGTCTCACAGTAAAAACACTGACATTAAAGGTTCAGTGATAACTGATAAAACACATTGATTTTTTAAATTACTTTTTATTTTATGTGTTTGGTTGTATTGCCTGCATGTATGTAAGTTCACCTGTGTTGTGCAATGTCCACGGAGGTCAGAAGAGTATCGAATCTCCTGGAACGGGAGTTTATCCGTCCTGTGGGTGCTGGGATTCGAACCTGAGTCCTCTACAAGAGCAGCCAGTGCTCTTAACCGCTGAGCCATCTCTCCAGCCCCGACACTGATATTTTTAAGTCTTCATAATGGTGGCAAATTACCCACACAAGTAAGCACAGAGACTAAAGCATTAGCTTCAAAATACCATCCCCCCTTCCTCTTTGGGTTTAGTGAGTGGCTCTGGGCCAGAGAGAGTTCTGTTCTAAGGCGCCAGTCAACATCCAAAACTTGCGAGCTACCGGCTTCGGTGTCCGTTTGATAGTGAGATTACGCACCAGATTCAAATCCCTCTATCGCAGCTGCAAACCAGCAATCCGGAACCAAAACTCAGTGACCTCGATTTCCGGAAGAAAGCGGAAATGTGTTACTATAAATCGATTGCTTTGGGCTTACGGAGGCCTATTACCGGAGAACCGGGCACCAAAAGCCAAGGACAGCTGAGTCTAAAGTTCTTCGGCTGAAAAGAAGTAGGGGCCGCGCCGGCCGGCTCCAGGGCGCCGAAGCCAGCCGCAGGTCAGCCACGTTGGCGCCTGCCGTGATGCGCGCTTTGCACAAGAACAGGACCCTGCGCTACGGGGTCCCCATGCTGGTGAGTGGGCCCGGTCCGGAAGGGGAGGGGCCTTCTTGGCTGACTCCCGACCGCTAGTTCTGTGCGATAGGTCTTCCACCCGACCAGCGGTTGGCTCCGGGCTGCGTAGGTCTGCGCTTTCACATCTTTTCTAGTCCTCTACATGCCAAAGCATGATCTCAGGTGTCCCGCTCTCCTTTCTCATCTTGAGCGCGGTTGTTCTTCTCTCCCGGTTTCATAGTTAAGTAAACGGAAGCTCAGAAAGTGGGGTAACAAACCGGTATCTCCCAGGTTGGCCCCACCTACCCCCACGGTCTGGATGATTTCTAAGCTTGTTTCCAGGGTTTTGTGATGAACGAAAAAAGTGTTTAGCACAGTGCCTGCCCTTCAAGAGGCCGCCGCTTTCAAAGAGGTGCTTTTCTGACTGCATGAAAGTCTACACTGAGTTCCGGAGAGCTTTCTTGGGAACAAAGGTTGAGACTGGGTTCAAATCAATCGGAGCCAGAGTCCAAGCAACTACCCTCTCTAGTTTGATCATGGGCAAATTAATTTGCTTTAGCAAACGTCGATATCATAGTAAAGGAAATCAAACTTTTAAAAAGTTCAAAACAGTTATTATTTTGGATATTGGCGCCGGTGAGGTTATCAGCTTATGCATTTAAGCAGTACTAAAAGAGGTTGACTTTAGAAAGGTCACAGTTTTTTAAAGTCATTTTTGATGTATCTGGATTTTTCCCCCGTCTTTAGGAAACTGCAGTCTAAAGAGTTTTAGGATCTTTGTGTTTATAAACTAACAGTAATTTGTGTAGATGATAAAGCCTGTGTGTTCTGCAGATTCCGCTGCTATTCAGAAACAGATTTTAGCCACTGACTTGCAATCAACAGTGTGGCACTATGGGAACCGATTTTACTTTCTCCCCTTTCAAAAATGATAAAAGTCTAGGTCTTAAGTAAAAGCCCAGTGAAAGAAAAAAAAGAAGAAAATTAAGGTGAGGCTTGTTAAGTATCCTCTGTTTTAAGAGCTAATCGACACGAGGGAGACTTACAAATGGAAATATCTTTTACCGTCAGTTTTTAAATGGTCAAAGTGTCAGGAAGTCATATTTTGGCACTTTATCTAGGCAAAACCTTTTAATCTGATTTGTTTTCTAATCAGATGCCCTCCAGTGAATAAGGCAAAGACCACTTTCTCTGCCCTCCCAACCTGAGAAAGCCTCCCTTGAGTTCTGAGGCTACCCTTCACAGATCTCAGTCAGATGTGGTCTGACAAATTAAGGAGACCTCCAGTTATGTCACAAAAGTAATTTCTTCAGCCCAAATATCCATTATGACTTTTTACCTCATAGATGTCCACTCATCCCGTGTCCTTGTTTGCTTTCTTATATTAGAAAGAGGTTAAGGTAAATGTCTTTAAACAACAGGAAAGTTCTTAAAGAAAAGCATTAAGGTTAAGACACAGCATCTTCTATCACACACACGTATTATAACAAAGTTGAGCCCACTGATCCAGTGAACACAGAGAATTTAAATCTAATGCTGTTTTTTTGGTGGTTGGTATTGCTTCGCTTTTTTTTTTTTTTTTTTGGTCTTTTTGAGACAGGGTCTCCCTGTAGCCCCAGCTGACCTGGAACTCACTATGTAGACCAGGCTGGCCTTGAACTCACAGAGATCTGCCTGCCTCTGCCTCCCGAGTGCTGGGATTAAAAGCATGCGCCGCCACACCCAGCTTTGCTTTGCTTTTTAACATTTATTTGTGTGTACATGTGCAGTCTGAGGACAATGTGTAGGAGTTGGTTCTTTCCTGCTGTTTGAGTGCTAGGAACTGAACTCGGGTCCTCTGTAGGAGCAGCAAGCGCTCTTACTACTGAGCTATCTCTCCATCCCCCATTTCCAGAGAGTTTTAACTAAGGTGCACCCTGAATGTAGAAGGCGTCAGTCCATGGGACGGGTTCCCAGTCTGAATAAAAAGGGAAAAAGTGAGCTGAGCCCCATCGTTCCTCTCTCTGCTTCCTGGTTCTGGATGTGATGTGACCAGCTGCCTCATGCTCCCTCTGCCATGTCTTCGTTGTCACGATAGGCTGTGTCCCCCATGATAGTGTTCTTCCTTCAAGTTGCTTCATGTAGGATATTTGGCTACAGCAACAAGAAAGTAACTAATAGATTCCTCAAATGCAAAATATTCTCATTTCTCTTGTTGGTAAAATTTCTCTTGTTGATTTTACTCCATGTGAGAATGCAGAAGATAGACACATATTTTATAAAAATTAAGCCATCTCCCTTGTTAGTTACATAGTTCTTTGTCTGTTATATACAGGAAGATGTCAAAGTCCAGTGACTCCTGAATGTTGTTATTCAGAGGTTATTATTATTCTGCAATTTCACCAAGAAAAGGAAAATGTATGTCTTATAAGCTGAACATAAAGATCTTTGACATATATATATACATACATACATACATGAGTTTTATGTAAATAGAAGCCTCAATAAAATTTTATATTTAACAAATATATAAAATGCCTTTATTTTTTAAAAGAATGCTATTTTACATAAACATGCAAAGACGTGTATGTGTATATAAACCTATACACATGTTATGGTTCAGACATCCTTATAAATCTAAGACTAAACATTTAAAGCAGTATCAGTTATGCATTGTGACTATGACTCAACTATCAAATGACTTGCCCTTTTACCAATTATAGACTCCCGAGTATCAATGGGCAAATATGACAATCTTAAATACTTACTGCCTAAAATCTTTTTCCTACAAATGATTGGCCTATTTTAGATGGAAGTATAAAGTCATCATTTTTAGATACTTTCTATTCTTGTTCTCAAATTAATTAGAGGACATTTCGTAAAGGCTTTTTTATTCACTAACATTCTATGAAAGATATTTAGTATACCCAAATACATAGATTTTTTTTAAGAAGCCAAGAATAGCTGAATTCTTAAGACAAAGCTGCATGATATAAACCTGCGAGACCTGTGGACAGTTTAAGCCAAATTCTATTTATGCCAGATTATGGTAAGCTGAGGTATATTAATTACTTCTTTCATTGCTGTGACCAAATATCTGAGAAGAAGCAACTTAAGAGGAAGGATTTTTACGTAATGGTTTGTGTGTACACAGTCCATCATAATGGGGAAGGGAAGGCACTGAGACTGCTTGCTCACATCCCAACAGACAGAGAAGTAGAGATGGCAGTGCTGGTGCTCGCTGGCTCTCTCCTATTTCTTTTTATTTAGTCTGGGCCCCTCGCTTATGGAATTTGCTATCTATTTTCAGGAAGAATCTTTTCTACTTCAGTTACTTCTTTCTGTAAAAGAGAGGTCTAAAATTTACTAGGTAGACCTAGCTGGCCACTCACACCCGAGAATGTGCGTCACTGATGCCCTAGGCATTTCTTAATCAAGTGATGTGGACAATGATTAACTATCACATTAGGTTACTTGGTTATATGGCTGAACCTTAAGATATTAATTGTAGGTTCCAAGTAAGATTCAATCCAAAGAGTACTATATAGCTTGGTTTTTAAGGTCTTCCTTTTTTTTTTTTTTTTTGATTCAGTAAGGAGTCTGAGCATTAACTTTTAATATCTTCATTTCATCAGGACTGACGGAGATGGCAACCTTAAAAAAAAATTAGGGGCTAGAGAGATGGCTCAGCAGTTAAGAACATGGGCTGTTCTTGAGGAAGACCCAGGCTCAAATCCTAGCACCCACATAGCGGCTAACAACCATCCATAACTCCAGTTCCAAGAGATATGATGCCCTCTTCTGTCTTTCTCGGGCACTGCATGACATGGGTGCACTAACACACGTGTAAGTAATATATTTGTACACATAAAATAAAAGAAAAGAAACAGTTTAGGGAGCAGAAGAAGAAAGAAAAAGTAACAACCTACAATTGCAGTTTGACTTAATTTCAAGAGGCTTATATATACATTCATGCACATACATTCACACAAAGTTTTAAAATTAGACATGCCAAAATTGTTAGCTTAAACACAGATAGGATGAGCTAAAAATAATGCAAAAATGAGGTAGACTCCAAGATTACAAAGTTATGCAAATACAACAGAGGTCCCAACAGCCGTGGCCCTTGTTTCTCTTATCCCTATGGCCATGCAGGATGGTCATTACAAGCAGTAAGAAACTTCACCAAGTCGGGAAAAAAGCAGAAGTAGAGAGTTTATTAGATGCAGTACAGTGCAGCCACAGCAAGCAAGACAATAGAAATCAGTTTTCTGCATTTTTAAAATTTTATCTATTATTTGGAGAGGGGCATGTGTGGAGTCAGAGAACAACTTTGTAGAGTTGGTTCTCTCCCACCTTTATGTATAATTCTAGGGATTGAACTCAGGTCATCAGGTTGTACAGCTAATGCCTTTGCCTGCTGAGCTGTCTCGCTGGCTGGCTGCATAGAGGCATTCTCCAAGACTGCACTTATGGGAGTCTGTGCCAGGCAGTCAGGCAGTGTTTCAATAGAACACTCAACCTACAGTTGTGGCTTATCATGGTTAACTTTCAGATGAGATAATGGTTCTGCACAGAGGAAGGCCACAGTGGCCTTGTTCTGAGCTTAGCCTGTCCTGAGATAATAATTGCTTTATTCTAAGGCCAGAATAACAGCATAACCATCTTTGGGAGAACTGTGGGCACTTAAGACTTTTTGGTCAGACAAATAGCAGAAGCAAAAGAATCCAAAATACCTCAAAGCCCCCAAATAACAAAAATTGAAATTTTCCTGTTAGACATACCAAATGGTTCAGAAGAGCCCCCAGATGAAAGGAATACAAATACACCTGGGTTTTCTTAAATTCTCTGCAATTGACATCAGAAACACAAAGGACAATCAAATACCTCATCAAACAAGTGGCTATGAGGAGAACCCCCAAATTTCCACTAACTGGCTAAATGTCACAAGTGAGAAGGCCAAATGACGAACGGGAGTGAGGCAGGACTGACAGTTTTATCAGGGAGTTTGCAATAACAAAATCAACAGCAGAGCAGTCTTCAAATGAGAGCAGACAAAATAGTCTCAGAAACCAAAGCACGTTTCCTTTTATCAGCAAGGTCCATTTCATAGGCAGACAACGCTGCGTAGAGGAGACGGGAGAATGACAGAATGTGTTCCCTTAGCTGCCTTGTGTCCCCTAGTACTAATCATGGGGCCAGCTTCCTGCTAGCCATCTCTAGTTCTGGCACTCCCAAACTGGTACCAGAATCTGAAACTCCCCCTACCATTTTTATTTTGTTCTGATTTTTTTTGAGACAGGGTCTCCCTGTAGCCCTAGCTGGTCTAAAATTTACTAGGTAGACCTAGCTGGCCTCAGTCTCACAGAGAGCCATCTGCCTCTGCCTCCCGAGTGCTGGGATTAAAGCTGTGCTGCTACACATGGCTCAGAATTGGAGTTTCATTACTCTATGTCTTACTGGAAAAAACATTTTTAAAAAATTAAAACAAAAATGAGACAGGAATTGGCAAAAGACAATGAGTTAATTTGTTTTGGCCAGAGCTTGGGAGAGAAGAGTTTCAGCTTCTCTCTAGTGTTACTGACTCTACAAATGATCAAACAAACCCCAGGAAATCTGCATAGACGTATACTTGTAGCTCTGAGATAAGTTACCAGAACAGTTGAAATGCTCTTTTCCTGGGAGACAGTTCTTCCTCTGGTTGTCTGTACTCACCCCCAGCTTGGGATTTCCTCTAGAAATTTTAAATCTTTGGGGTCCCTGTTACACTGTTTTCTATTGAAAATAAGCATTTGGAGCTTGTTAGGTTATAGAGGCTGTTTAAGAGGGTAGAACTGGGTGACATCATCTAGGGACTCTGTTGGTTGGAATAGCTAGAAGACATGTAAAGACTGACACTTTGAGGGTTCTCTAATATTGGGAATGTGAGAAACAGTGAGAGGAGGTGGGGGAACCAAGGACATCTTGTCACTGAAAAAAAGAGATGACAAAGTTTCTGAAAGGATGACATTACATACTGATTGCAGTTTGTGTGTGTGTGTACATATATAAACACATATGTCAACATCACATCACAGATGTTCTCCCCATTTGTTGTCTTTTGAGCTTATATAGCTTTTTATTTTATTTTTTGTCAGAAGTTTTGTAACTTACAGCTGTGAAGCTTTATTGGTATTCCCAATCTCAAAATGTAAGTTGATATTTCAGAATGTTTTATACTTTTTTATATTTAATCAATAACATAAATATATTGAAAAATGAAGTTAGGGATCAAGCTTTCTATTGTTGTTTTAAAAACGGCTAGATTTCTGCAGCTCTAAACTGAGAAAGAAAGCCAGTTCCATTTTGGAGGCAGTGGTTGATCAGCAGTGCCAGTTCGTCAGCTCCTTCAAGGACTACCACACAACGAGAAGTGCAGCCATTGCTGTGTCTGTTATCACTTGCTAAGAAAATAAGGGACGCTGTTCTCCCAGTGGCTAATTTTGCAAAATCATAAACTTGAAAATGTTCTGGTCTTCTACAGTGAAGGCCAGCATTTTATTCCTACGTTTACTCTTATAGTTATAGTATTAAGAACTTTATGGGCTGGGAACATGGCTCAGTGCTTAAGAGTACTTGCTGTACTTTCAGAGGACTACTGGTTCCCAGCAGCCACATCACTGGCTTACAACTTCCTGTAACTCCAGCTCCAGAGGACCCTCTTCTGGCTTCTGCGGACACACACACACACACACACACACACACACACACACACACACACAAATAAAATTAAAAAAAAAACTTTAAAAAATTTTTACAAATTTTGTGTGAGCAAAGAAGGCTCATGAATCAAGCAACACTTGAAACCCAGAGAGGTTCAATCCATTGCATGAACAGTGAATATTTATAGACAGAACAAGGAGGTACATTTACAGACATAGCGTAATTCGTTAAAAATAGGCATTTATGAACATGGGCTAGTCAATTGGCTGATGGAGTTTCTGTTTACCTTCTAAGATGACATAAGAACTCTAACGGAGTTAGGACGTAGGGGTAACAGTATCAGAAGTTTGTTTTATTTTTATTTTATGTTGTATGAGTGTTTTGCCTGCATGTATATATGCACACCATGCACATGCAATGCCTGCAGGGCCAGAAGAGGGCATCAGATATCTGGGACTGGAGTTACAGACAGTTGTAAGCCACCATGTGGGTTCTGGGAACTGAACCTGTGTCCTTTGCAAGAACAGTCAGTGCTCTTAACTGCTGAGCCATCTCTCTAGCCTTAAGTATCAGAAGTTTAAGGTGATCCTCGGGTACACAGCAAGTTCAAAACCAGCCTAGGCTGCATGAAACAAAAATTAAAACAAAACTAAAACAAAACCAAAAAACCCCATTGAAATCAAACACATGCCACACCCACATATGGATTTTAATATTTGGTAATAACCTATTATAATTTTCCCAGAACAGTACAGTAACCTTCCTTACTGAAGTTTCACTTTCTATAGCTTTATGGTCAGTTGTTACCCAAAAATATTAAATGGAAAATTCCAGAAATAATTCATAAGTTTTAAGTGACATCACAGTACATTGTCATTGCTGTGGACTTTATTATTAGTTATTGTTGTTAATTTATTGTGTTTATTTTAAAAACTAAAAATTTTAAATTTCTATGATAAAATATAGTGTATTTT